GAGAGAGAGAGAGGGCCAGCCAGCGAGCGCTATAATTACCCACTCACTACTGTAATCCCCCCAAAAGGTAAAATGGACGACCCGACGTCGGGCTTAAGCGACCGCGTGAGTCCTGCAGATCTTCAATGCAGACCCACGATTCGTGCCGGCTTGCACATATACTACGTAGCACTTGGGGTCGGAAGGATCTGTCCTCCGATCGAAGAAATCGTCCGAAAATAAAACAAGGTTGGGTCTTCATTAGGTTTCCGTACGCGGAGCTAATTCTGTACGTACGTAACTGCGGAACGACTAGGTACGTCCAAGACAGTAGTACTGTCCCGGACGAAGCATTGCAAGCTCTCTCCTGGGTTCGGAGTGACTGATCGACGCATGGGGACGGGACGGACGGGAATAAAAATAAACCATAAGTACAAGGAAAATAAAATGGGAGGGGGAGGGGGGGGTGGGGACGGGGGTTTGGCTTATACAACTAGTAGTACGGTAGGTAGGTATGCTACGTAAGGTACCCCTTCTGTACATCTTTAATTGCGAGGTCATGCATAATTGTAATTGTAGTAGGTAGTAGTAGTAGGAGTACCTTTTTTTCCTCCCGCGAACCAGAAAGAAACTCTTGACTTCTGACGGCTTGAACGCTCTAAGTACAGCTATAAGCTTTGCAAAGGTAAAATGAACATTGCAGTAGGTAATCGTCGGCCTCGCTTAGGGAGGGCCTCCTTACTGTATGTACAAGTACATCCTTTTCAACCTGAAGTCGGCGTAAGCGATTGCGGGTCGGACGCGAATGCGGGTTCTTCGTGCACGTTGAATTATTACCGTACTACTATTTTTTCTTTATTTTATTTTTTTCTTTATTTTATTTTATTTTTTTATTTTTTCATTACAGTAAATGACAACTACCACAGCCGTAAAAAAAAAATATATATATGTAAAATAATCAACCTACGCGTCCATCTTCCTCCGCAAGATCCACAACCGCATGCTCCGATTCAAAAAAAACATCTCTCTGACTACCGTACCCATTAGCACCTTCGTCGGAATCCGATCCGTCTCTGACCTTGCGCGATGAATCAGTTGTAGATCTTCACTCACCCACCACCTGCAAGGATTGCAAGCCACCGCTACCGATCTCCGTAGGTACTTTGTGCAGCGAGGAGGCCTTTCTTTTTTTTTTTTTCGTTTTTCGCACGGTCCATTTCTTTCTACGCTCGCGCTCCGCGTCGCGTGAGCTGGGTACTACGTAGATTGGTAAAAGGTCGCACGTGTGTGTGTGCGCGGCAGGTCGCGTTTTCCACGTCGCGGAAGGGTGGACCGGTAGGTATCCGGGTAGGAGGAGTGGTTGTTTATGTACCTAGGTATGTGTAGCAGCGGCGTTGGAGACGCGTCGCGAGATCTTCGGTTGCTTTGGGAGTAAGTACATAGGTAGGTACCTACCTGGTTGCGCGTGGGTTTTATCTGTTAAAAAAGGGAAAAAAAAAATTCTTGAAGGCGTCGTCGGATGAATATGCCTTTATCGGCCTGCGGTTGGTTACAGGATGTGAACATATCGAGCGGTTGTAGAAAGAAAAAAAAAGAA